GCAGAAAGGTGCCTGACCTGTGGAACGCTCTGCCCAGGATCAGTCGACCTTTTAAGGCTCTGATCCTAACCTGCGATCAACGCTGTTCCTGCCAGATCATCTCCTACCTCCACTGGGCAGAGCATCGAGAAGCTCTGAACTGAAAGAAGAAGGTAATTATAACACGACTTCATGATTTTACCAGATGAAGCAGAAGATTTCGCAAACCTGTACAAGAGAGTATTTTACAATATTCCATTTCACCACCAAACAAGCTGACCCTGACTCTCACACACATCAATGCTTCAGTCTGTGAGCCTGCAGCTGGATACAGCCCAGCTGTACAGTAAAGCCTCCTTCATGTATCCAGAGCAGAACATTACACTGGCAGAGCGACTGCTCCTGTCCTAAGGTCTAATCCAGGACATCTGGAGTACACAGAGGAAAAGGCAGTAGAATTCTTTCTTAGGGGGCTAAGAGCACATAATCTGTTTTCAAGTCCCAGCAATGATATGAACAATATGCATTTGCTTCTATGAGTTCTGAATCAGCAGTTATTTCCTTCCCAACAGGAATCATGGTGTCTGACGCACAGCCAATGGCAAGCGGCGACCCCTGACCTGTGCAATGACTTCTGGGAGAGCATTCGCCCACTGCTACCCAGGCTGGACCCAAACCGAATCGGCCTCCAGGGGGCAGCAGAACCGGACAAAGCGAGCAGGACTGGCGACAGCAGGCTTGCCGCTCTCACCTGGGTCACAGGTGCACGTCTCGTCGTCGGCCCTGCGGTTTCCGGGACGGTGCTGGGCACGGGGGTGGGGGTCTCTGTCAGTGGGGGGCTCGTCGTGGTGGTCTGCTGAGCACAGGGAGAGCGGTGACCCCTGGGGCTCTTCAGCAGCCTCAGGAGCTCGGGGGGTGCGTTAGAGGTCAGCCCTGGAGCGACCCTGTCCTCGAAGTGACAGCGGCCTGCGGGCGGACTGGGCTCCCGCAGAGCTGGGCCTGACCTGTCCTGCTCCCCGAGGCGGCCAGAACGCTTGAAGGGGTGCCTTCGAAAGAGCCTGCCCTTGAAAAGACCTGTGGTGGCGTCCTGTCAATCCTGTGATTGTGGTGGTGGCAGTGGGATACAGGTGCTTGCCCTCCCCACCCCCCGGTTGTGCCCGGACAGTCCGTCTCTCTTACCCTTCCCTCCTCTGTGCGTTGGCATTGCTCTCCGTCCTTGGGCAGGCAGGAGAATAGAGGCTGTGGGCACTGGTCACTCCGAGACTCTGCCCGGGCGTCGCTGGGGCACAGGCAGCAGGCGGGCTGGCACCTCCCTCCGACCACCCACTCCCTGCGGATGGCAGCGCACTCCGGTCACGGCGAGGTCACCCTGCCCCACCGAGCCCTGACGCGGTCAGTTCGCAGACGCAGGGACTCGGGCCCGTGCCGCAGACACAGGAGAGCCATTTGGACTGACACCCCGTCCCCAGAACCCCGGAAACGGCCCCACCCCCACCGGGAGACGAGACGACGCGCCGGTACCCTCACCCCTCTCCGCAGCAGCGCGCGTCCTGCGTGGAGCTGCAGCCTCGCAGCCCCTGCCTGGCCGGGCAGAGGGTGCAGCGCTGGCACCGGGCGCGACTCCCGTCGTTGAACGTCCCTGCCCCGCACTCCTGGTACGGACGGTCCAGCCGCCCGCCGTCGTCCTGGAGGCCACAGTTGGGCGAGAACTCGAACCCTGGGGGCGAGGCACGGGGTCTGAGACACTTGGCCACCGGACCTACTCCAGACCTGGGGTGCTGTCTGTGTGGAGTCTGCACGTTCACCCTGTGTTTGCGTGGGTCTCCTTCCACACATCCGTCCCACAGGTAAGTTCACTGTCTTCTGGGAAATTAGCCCTGACCCGACTGTGGGGGGGACGAACTAACCCCATCCCTGTGACAGAAAGGTCTGCTTAAGAGAATGAGAATTCATAAATAAAATGAATTGCGGTGAAGCTCTGCTTGTCTGACGTACAGTTTTCGGAGGTTCGGTCTGTCGCCGCTGAGTCACCAGTTTCTGCAGAAACGGAACAGTGCTCTTGCGACGAGCTCAGCGAGCGATCCTACTCATTCCGGGATGATTCAGGACGGAAACTTGCGCCTGCAAAGGTGGCCTCTCACAGTGCTTTCCGGCAAGTCCCGGTCCTGTCAGCCCTCGGAGGCACCAGGGGTCCCCGAACAGACGCCGGCTCGGCCCAGCGCCGACACGGACCCCCGGCGCGCTGCCCCCCGTGTCAGTGGCGCATTCCCACGCGCGTTGCTGAGGGCTCCACGGAGACTTGAGCGCGGCTCTAACGGAATCAAACCGACACGATCTGATAACGGGGAATTCTGAGTAAAATCAGAAACACCGGGCTTTCCCCGCAATAACGACGAAATGCACGTAAAACAAGTACTGTAACTCCACAGGTCTCAGATTCAGGAGTATCAACGGTGCACAACAGGGGCAGCGCATTGCTTACGACTGGCGGTGATTGTGGCAAATTTTATGCACCAAATTAATTAGATATATTAAATAAATAGTTTGTATGTTTATGATAAAAAGGCACGGGATCAGCTGTCATTGATTGTGTTGATTGCAATCTTTAAAAAAATAACTGCAAAGGTCCTGTAAGCGTATACAGCACATTTAACATGACATGTATTAATACTAAATATAGTATTAGTACATTTCTCATATAGCAATGTGTTTTCGGGCCGAAAAAGGCTAAAAAAACCGTTATTCGCGATTTGATGCTGAAGGGGAGTCCCTATTGCCTAAAGAAAAGCGATATATAAGTGTAATGTGTTATTGTTATTATTGGACTTCCGGCAATGACGAACACCCCTCTGGCGCATTCGGCCGTTAACCGAGAGTTTACTGTGTCTATAAGAGCATCGTCTCTCCAAGTGTCTGAGCCGTGTGGTGCGCTGCTCTGTCACGCGTGGGGGAGGGTGAATTGTAACAGCGGGACAGTCACGTCTCGCGCTGTGGAAAGGCCCCACGCTTGGCGAGCGAAGCGGGGTCTGAGGGGTGTCCGTCCGCCCGCTCCCCGTCCCGCCTCGGCCCGGAGCGCCTCCCTCTCTCCTCCGGAAACACAAGGAATCGCATCGGCAGCTGGACCCTCATCTCGACCACTAGCACTTGGAAATCACGAAGGTTTTTCCCCTTGAAGTAAACACGTCCGCAGGCTTCGCGCACGGAGCTCCTGTGTGATGTGTGACAGCTTTTTGAAAATTGCCCGTCCACCCCAAGAGGCACCCAAAACCTAAAAATAAAAAACTGATCTACACGCTGAGAGGCATTCAAAATCACTGTTAGAACTTCCAGCCCCGGTTGGTTTTAGTGCTTTTCGTTGTCTTCAAACCGCAGGATGTAAAAGCAACTTGGAACTTTGATTATTTCACACAGAAAAAACCCGAAATATTTCGGCCAATACGGGAAATATCTTGAGAAACCTGTAAGACGGGGACAGACAGCACGTTCTTAACATAACGGTGTACTTTATGCAAATGAATTATGTTCTCCTTGAGGATTGACGAAGATAACACGACCCTCTAAGTCAAAGCATGGAGTACAAGTTGGGCTCATAACAACGTGATCAGAGCATTTTCTTCCCTAGGATTTCAGAAAAACACGTACAGTGCAATACTGTCGGAGTGTTATACAGCATCTCCCAGTTAAAGCCATTTCATTACCAGCAACTACTGCTGCATGCTGTATTACTGCGCATTTGATCAACTTTGATTTGATTTGATTTGATTTGATTTAGCGGCGAGGAAACCGGACTCCGGTCAGCAGCTGGCAATGAAAGCGTCTCTCCCCGTCGCCCGTTCTCTGTACCTGCAGCGATGGGATATTCGTCTGCACACAAGCGGCAGCTCCCGGAGTCTCTATGCCAGAACATCAGGGCGTCCCGGCACTTTCTGGAGTACAGTCTCTGCCCGCACCCGGCGCCCAGCAGCGCGGCGCCGAGCAGCAGGAGATCCGCCAGCCGCCTCATCTCTCCGGTCAGGCCGGCCGGGCTGACACTACTGACAGCGATGGGAGAGGCGCGACTTTTTTTCCTGGTTTAGGTGGGGGGGGCGGGGCGTATATATAAAGAGCAATTAAAGTTCCGCGCAGATCCAGCCCGCCGGGGGCTTGACTCTCTCGGACAGCCCAGGAAGCACCGACACATCTCCGGCGCGCCCGCCCAGCCCGCAGGGGTTCAGAAACACGTCAGATTCGCCGACAGCCAGGAACTCCGAACTGTCCACTGTCAACCCAGGCTTACAGCGAGTCCGCGTCCCGTACACCAGGGGGGTGAGACACCGAGCCAGCGCGTCCTGTGTCGTTGTTTTTAGAAGCACCACCTTTCGGATGCATCGTCTCCAGGGATATGAAAGAACTTGGGAGACACCCGTCACAGTCGCAAATATCAGTGCTTTGGAAAACTGAAATCTTGTCTGCAGTTGTGATATCCGGCAGACTGCGCTTTCTGCGCCAAAAACAACACGGACATGTTCGCTGCCAAACCGAGCGCTGGCTTTACCGCGTCTGTTTACCTGCTGCAGATGGCCCTGGGATTCCCCGCGCGCCTGCCGGCTCCCAGTGACGTCGGCGAGACACGCCCCCCTCCTGCAGGCATTTCCGGTGCCAGTGGGGGGCGCTGCGGGGCCGCCGAGGTGACTCGCAATCGAGTATCAGTAAAAAACCCAAACTCATCCATGCGACCCGCACAGGACCTGAACCTGTTTCCAGCCACTGTAGCTGCCAGGCTCTTGTTCAGGAGCAGCAGGTTACAAACTGCGGAGCGATGAGCAACGCTATCGGACATGATAACATTGCTGCCTCGCAGGGCTGGGGCCCAGGGTGTGTGTGTCCTGTCCAGGGTGTGTGAGTGTGTGTGTGTCCTGTGATGGACTGGTGTCGTGTCCAGGGGGTGTGTGTGTGTCCTGTGATGACTGGTGTCCTGTCCAGGGTGTGTGAGTGTGTATCCTGTGATGGACTGGTGTCCTGTCCAGGGTGCGTGTCTGTGTGTGTCCTGTGATGGACTGGTGTCCTGGCCAGGGTGTGTGTGTCCTGTGATGGACTGGTTTCCTGGCCAGGGCGTGTGTGTCCTGTGATGGACTGGTGTCCTGCCCAGGGTGCGTGTGTCCTGTGATGGACTGGTGTCCTGTCCAGGGTGTGCCCTGCCTTGTCCCTGCTGCTTGCTGGGATAGACTCCAGCTCCCCCACGACCCTGAGCTGGAGGAAGAAGCAGCAAACGGCTGGAGGTCAGACACCTGACTGCACAGCTCACGGGTTCATCACCTGGGGAGCCCCTCTTTCACTGCTGGGGTACCCCTACAGTGCCGGTTTTGAGGGTCCCCCTCTCCTCCTGGCCGGGTGCACAGGTGTGTCGAGGTTGCGGCACGGCCGGTCCAGAGGGCCGAGCTGCAGGCAGGAGCGCCGGGGGGGCGGGGGTGTGATTAAGAAGCTGTCGTTAAGCCGGTTTAAGACGAGAGCAGTGTGACATTGAGAAGACACACGTGCCCTGGCCGGCAGAGCGCTCGGACCGGCTGTGGGGTGCCTGCTCTCTCCCTGCCGCCGGACACCCCGCCTCCTCCGCCAGCGGACCCCGCGACCCGGCTGGGAGGGCCCGCTCTCCGCAGGTAGGATGCCGGCGATCGGACTCTGGCTCGAGCCGCGCGGAGCAGCTCTCTGGGTAATCTCCAGGTCACGCCAGGCCACCTCCGCGCTGCTGCAGAGCTGCGGCTGAGGCACCGCGGCCGGCCACGCCCCTGGGCCGCCTGTTACAGACCCCTCGCACTTCGACCCCCTCTCCACCCCCAGCACCCCCCTTACCCTCCCTGCACCCCCTCTCCACCCCCAGCACCTCCCCTTACCCTCCCTGCACCCCCAGCACCTCCCCTTACCCTCCCTGCACTGGGGGGCTTTACCGGGGTACAGTAGATACCAGAGGAGGCACGGGCACGATCGTCACACTGCCCACACTTTCTTCCACTCGAGATTCGACCAGCTGCGGGGGTCCTGGGGGGGGCGCTGTTGTACGGTATAATATGGGGACGCTTTGATGCCGAGTGACCGATCTGCGAAGCTCTAACAGATGTGCTTCTCTCAGGGGAGCCATTACAGTCCTGTGTGAGGAAGTAAACAGCTGTGCCAATAAATTCAAACACAGCAAGACCACGAAGCCGGAGAGTCAAGCCGCGCAGATCTGCGCAGACGCAGTGAACCGCTGGACTGCGCCACTTCTTCGGTTCTGACGTTCCTGGGCCGTAGCGCAAGTCCAAGGATGAGCTCACTGGAGCTGTCTGTAACCCGGCTGCTCTCCCCTCCTTCACGCAGCAAAGCAGAGATCCGCTCAGCCGGGACACAGCTCTGCAGGTGCTGACACCCTGGAGCTCTTCTCAGCCAGAGACTCCTGTGGCATTCCTGCATCCTGGCCGGAGCAGAGATAGCAGATGGGCTTTCTGAGGCTGCGTTTGCAGGATTAAGCCCGGAAGGGGGGGCAGGGGGAGGGAGAGCAGCTGAGCCAGCAGGCAGGGGTCTTACTGTGCTCTCTGGCCAGCAGTGAGCTCCTAAATAACACTCAGGTCAACCACTGGAAGGGTTCAAAACCTCCGAGCCTGTGCTCCTGAGACAGAGGTTGTTATCTGCTCAAGGAGCCGAAGGAGGGCGTTCTGATGCCCTTTTAAAAGGGAGTTAACCTCAAGGCTCCTGACAACACGGAACATATGAGTCAAGCCTCCCTCCTCAAAAGGACAGGCTGTTTGTCACCACAGACCTGAGGCTGAGCTCTGCTGCCCTGCTGCCCTTGTCTCCTTCTGCCCTGCTGCCCTTGTCTCCTGCTGCCCTGCTGCCCTGTCACCCTGTTGCCCTGCTCTTGTTCTGCCCTGCTGCCCTGTCGCCCTGTTCTCCTGCTGCCCTGCTGCCTTGCCCCAGCATGCACAACGCCTCCCCTTGCCTGGTCAGACCACAGGACCACAGTCTACGTCAGACTGAACCTATTGGTTGTGGTTTTTTTTCCAAAAGGCGGATGTTGAAATGTCATCGCTGTTCCTGCGCTAGTGTGTGAGGAGACGGGGGCACGTGGTTTGGCTAAAAGCGTGGCTTCAGTCAAATAGACGGGACAAAAACGGGGTTCAGAGTCTGTGCAGCTCTCAGAGCTCCAGTATTCCGGGGAAGTGGCTCCCTGCTCCCGCCTCTCTTCCTGCCAGGTCCGAATGACCCGGAAGGACTTCGCCAGCGGAGTGCACACCCCACCCCTCGTCCGAAGCTCTACGGCCACTGCCATGCTCGCCGCGGGGAAAGGGGGGCCAGGGCCCGACGGCCAGGGGCTCACTGGCGCCCCTGGGGCCCCTCCGGCAGTGACCTCCAGGGGGCGCCGAGCCTCTGTCAGCGCCGCCCAGAAACTGAAGTCCACCATGGTGGTCCAGTCACGGGGGCCGGGGGACACCGAGAGACACCCCAGCGCCTTCCACGTGAGTGGTTCTCCCTGGGGATTGGGGGGTTCCCTGAGGCAGTCGGGTGGGGAGAGGGGTCCCTGGGGGGAGGTCTGTCCTGAGCCAGCTCGCAGGGAGACGCTGTGGGACAGTGGCAGGCTGGGAAACGACTCTTGCCCCTCGGCTGTCGCTGGGCTACCCCAGCTGTGCTCACGAGCGACGTCCAGATTGAGTCACATCGTTACAAAAAGCTCCTGTTCTAGGAAAAAAACGATAAATTGTGCCATCTGTTTTGCGAAGGTCAGTCATTTCAAATCCTGATGCACCAATTCAGTCCCCACAGCTTGAGTCATCTTAGTCATCGTAGTCTCTCAGACCACATTGTCTCTTTCTACTGTCCTGCAACATCAGGACTTTGGAATCGTGAAAAGGTCTGTTAATGTTTAGTCTCTTCTGCGCGTAAACTTCAGGGAATGGGCTGAAGGAATGCAGTTTAACATGATCACTTGGAAACTTGCTGTATTCAAATAGCAATTCAAGGAAGGAGCTTGTACAAATGTGGTATATACAGAAAGTACAGGAACACTAATGTACACAGCAGGCTGTTGTTCTGGGGTCTCCAGAAGCTGATGATGAATGGATTTCTTCTGCAAAGCAGGGAAATTCCACAGTATTGTGAGGTCAGCATGGAAACATGACACACTCCTGCAAATCCACCATTCTTTTGTTGATGACTGGGACGTCTGAGAATTCTGCAGCATCTTTTTCCACTGTCTTCTGAGCCACATGTGTCCTGCTAACAGCTCTCCAGAGCACACCTCTCACTCCCGGACACTCGACAGTCTCTCTCACTCTCTGACACTCGACACTCTCACTCTCTGACACTCCTGGACACTCGACACTCTCACTTCCATCAAATCATTTTTTGGGTTGTCTCCAAATCTATAGTTTTATTCCTGCCAATTTCCCTGGCTTTAAAGTCCTAGAGGAGTTTCTTTTAGGCAATACAAACAAAGCCCATTCCCTTTCTCAGTTCTGTGCAGTATTACAATCCGGACTGGAATTAAGTAATCAGTTCTGTTAACGTTGTGTTGATCTGCAACAGGCTGACGGAAATGCAACTGCAATTTTTTTCATGATTACATTTCAGACGTTAACATTGAGTGTGTCTGTGAACTTGTCTTTATGTGCCCTTAATACAAAACAGGCACTGAGTCGGATATTCATTGTCTTTGGTCTTGCCCAGAGGTTCAGATTCGTGCCTCGGGGCTGGAGGTATGCTCCTCTAGAGACTCGGGTTCATGGGCAGAGCCGAAGCACTGATGCCGCTGTGGGGTGGAGCAGGCAGCCGGGTATGACAGAGGCTTCCTCTCTTGCAGACGGAGACGGTGCTGGTGGCCGACAGCCTGGTGGAGGGGGGGGGGCAGGTCAGCAGCGGGCTGCCCCTCCCTGACATCATGCCCAGCGAGCACAGCCGCCCGCCCCCGCTGCCGCCCCCCTCGCACCCCCCCATGCGGCGGCACAAGAGCACCACGGACATCCCCTACAGCCCCCAGCGGGGCCCCCTGCTCCGCGGCCAGCGCCCCAGCCTCTGCTCCGCGGGGGACCTGCCCGGGTACCGCCGCTGCTCCCTGCGAGAGGCGGCCGGCGCCCACGCCCGCTGGTACCCCCGCCACGCCCTTAGCGTGCCCAACATGGACACCAGCCCCGCGCGGGCCTCCCGGACGCCCACCCGCAGCGTGCTGTCCGCCCCGGTCCTGGAGATGGAGAAGTCGCCCAAGCTGCGCAGCAGGCTGCTGGAGGACGAGGAGGGCCAGGCGCCGCCGTGCCCGCCGGCCGCCCGCGAGCTGCGCCGCTACGTCACCAAGGACGGCAAGTGCCGGGTCAACCTACGCCACATCGCCGAGCCCGGGCGCTTCCTGTCGGACATCTTCACCTCCTTCGTGGACCTCAAGTACCGCTGGTTCCTCTTCGTCTTCATGATGTGCTACGTGGTCACCTGGGTCGGCTTCGCCACCCTCTACTTCCTGGACGCCCTCCTGCGGGGCGACCTGGACGCGCCGGCCCGCCGGGACCCGCCGCCCTGCTACCAGAACGTGGACGGCTTCCTGTCCGCGCTGCTCTTCTCCGTGGAGACCCAGCGCACGATCGGCTACGGCTCCCGCATGGTGATGTCCTCCTGCCAGGAGGGCGTGCTGCTGGTGATGGCGCAGTCCATCGTGGGCTCCATGATCGACGCGCTCATGGTGGGCTGCATGTTCGTCAAGATCTCGAGGCCCAAGAAGCGCGCCCAGACGCTGCTGTTCAGCCGGACCTGCGTCATCGCCAACCGCGACGACCAGCTGTGCCTCATGTTCCGCCTGGGCGACCTGCGCGAGAGCCACATGGTGGACGCCAAGGTGCGCGCCAAGCTCATCCAGTCGCGCCAGACCAGCGAGGGCGAGTTCCTGCCCCTGGAGCAGACCGAGATCGACCTGGGCTACGAGACGGGCTCCGACCGCCTCTTCCTGGTGGAGCCGCAGGTCATCCAGCACACCATCGACCCGAACAGCCCCTTCTGGGAGCTGGGGCCGGACCAGCTGCGCCGGCAGCAGTTCGAGATCATCGTCATCCTGGAGGGCATCGTGGAGGCCACCGGTGAGCGGGCCGGGGCGCGGCGTGGCGGGGGGTTCCGCTGGGGTGCTGGCCAAGGGCCCTGGGGCCTGCGGGCTCGAGCCTGGCTCTGTGCTCCCGCTCCACCGGGCCTGGGGCGGGGACGAGGCAGGCAGGCGATTCGTGCTCGTTTCCCTGACCAAGTCCGTCGGTGTCTGCAGGCCGGCTCTTGCTCTCCGGTCTCGCCTCGAGGAGCCGAAAAACCATTGGCTGTTTGGAGGGCGTGTCAGAGGAGGCGGGGCATGTAGGGGGAGGGGGGGCAGGGGCGTTTTCAAATCTGTCCAATCAACACATCCTCTCCCAGGTCAGACCCAGTCTTTCAACAAAGAAAAACCCAACACCAAAGATTTGGAATGATGCGATTACATTTTTTAGAATATAATAGAATATTATTAAATCAAGTTTATTTTCATCTAAGAGAAGCACTTGGGGAAAAAAAAAACATCCCAACCTAAATTGTAAATGAAAGCGCTTTTAAAGGTTTGTGCACAGATTGGAAAGCGGTTCACAGGGGTGACAGCAGCACAGTCCACAGTGTGTGTAGACAAAGTTCAAAACATTAAGCTCTATAAAATCACAGACACAGTTCGCATACACACTCGGGAACACAAATATCAGTCCTACCGCCTTCTGGATTATTTACATGCAGCATAACAAAATACAATCGTGTTGTAAAACAAAAAAATAGCTCTGGTTGTTCGTCACAGACCCTTCGCAGATACATGTGAACTGGTGGCTTCACTCTGGGTGGCAGTGAAATTAATGAAAGCACTGTGTAGGAAGTCTCTGAAACACCTCAGGTTTTCCGTCTGAGTCTCAGGTGTCAGTTACTCACAGACCAGGTGAGGAAAGATTTGATTGTCCGAAAGGTCAGGACCTTGGTGTTGCTGCCCACACGCTGTTTCTTCATTCTGTAGACGGGCTGTGGAAATGGCCTCATGCCACAGAGCGGACAGGTGTGAGCTCCGGGACCTCTTGCTTTATAAATAGCCGATACAATCGGGTTGTGAATTGAGTCAGGTCACTGTGATGGAAATTGCAAAAAATGAACAGCTCAAAGGCTTAGTCTGCAAACTGCCTCTGCTCCTGTCTCACCTGCAGCACGTCTGTACCCCCCACACACACGTCTGTAACCCCTACACACACGTCTGAACCTCTCCCCCCCAGACACAACTTTACCCCACACACAGGTATGGAATATACATGTCTGTACCTCACACAGATATCGGACCCACATCAGTGAGACCAGGACTTCATTCTGTTCAGTTTATTCTTTCATCAGCCGACTGCATCCTCTTTCTTATTTTCATTTCTCTTCACACAAATTATACATATAATACAAGTAAACAGTAAAAATACAACAAAACGATAAATGTAAAAAATGAACTCGAAAACGAAGTCTCCAGGAGAACCTTGCGCTAAGCGAGCTCTACACGGACACAGGCAGCGGACTGTCCAGACAAGCGCGATGCGAGTGTAAGGAATTGGGAATTAATGATCAATTCGAACGTTTTGCCAAACAGCGACTCCGTGTGGCCTCACTGGCTCACTGCTCTCACGGCGACAGAGCAGCAGGGAACACGCGTGTCGTCCGTCCAGCAGACTGCGATCCTAACCCGACACCGTTAAAGCGTTTCATCCCAAACAGGCTTTTAAAAATCGCAAAAAGACTTAAGAAGCTGTTGGTAAAACTTGACTTCGACTTATTTACCTTGCATTATTATGAGCAGAAAGCGTAGGTCTACTCCTCGCCTCGCCGGCAACACCGCCGCTCTCTGCGTTTCTTAGAGATTCGGGCCGATTCGCCGGAAGTGCGTCCTTTGACCACGTGACTCCCCCCCCAGCATTGAAACGATCGTCTTCCGGACAGGACCGGTGTCCATTTGACCCATCTGGCCCCACAGACACACTCACACTCACATCAGGAGGAGCGTACAGACTCCACACAGACAGAGCTCCCGGGATCGACCGGGGGCCCCAGCGCCGCTGACCTCTGCACTACCACGCTGCCTCAAGTTAAACTCATCCCTTTAAAAAGTGATCCTGTTAATTCCACTGAATGTCGCTCCTGCTGTGCATGGGATTTATACTCTTTACCTGGGCGGCTGTGCTGTGCTGGAGTGTCTCCTGTGCTTTCAGCTCCTGGTGCCCGGAGTTCCTGGCTTGTTAACAGCCCGTCGTGGAAACGCTGGTTCCACAGGTTCCACAGGCCCGGTGCCGGAGGCACCTGGGGTTTAGGTACAGTGCAAAAGCAGGTATTCTATTCTTCTTTCCCTCACTGACTCTTTCACCTTGTTTTTCTCCTTTTTACCCTCCTTTTGCTGTCTCTGCCCCTTTGTCTCCCACCATTAACCTTCTCTCCCCCTCTCCCTCTCCTCGTGTCTCCTCTCCCCATGCCTCCTACCCCTCTCCTCCCGTGTGCCTCTTCTCCCTCTCCCCGTGTCTCCTCCCCCTCTCCGTCTGTGTGCATCCTCTCCCTCCCCGGCTGTCTCAGGGATGATGTGCCAGGCGAAGACCTCGTACATCGAGACGGAGATCGAGTGGGGCGCCCGCTTCGAGCCCTGCATGACCCTGGAGAAGGGGGCCTTCCGGGTCGACTACCGTCGCTTCCACGAGACCTACCAGGTGCCGCTGCCGCGCTGCAGCGCCTGCCAGAGCGCCGAGCTGCAGGGGCAGCTGGACTGGGGGCTGCAGGCGGAGGAGGAGGAGGAGGAGGGGGACAGAGACGACCAGGCGGATGGGGGGGGCCTGGGGCGAAGGCTCTTCTGGGAAGCCCCCGGATTCGGCATCGATCAGATCCAGGAGGAGCGAGCCTCAGAGGTCAACGAGTGCGAGTTCAGCGTGTGACAGTCCGCGTGTGGAGGGAAATAACAGGGCTGCTGGTCTTGGGACATGCCTGTCCGTCTGTGAGCAGCTCAGAGGGAGGCACATGTACCAGTTCAGAGATGTTCTGCTTTCTTTTTATGTCTGCATTAGTGCTGGGGACATTGAGTTAGGTGTCGGCACTGGTTAAAATCTAGGGTCTCTTACACCGGGAGGACAGCTTGGCCAGTGGTTCAGGTCCAGTCCTGTTGTACCAGGAGGACAGCTGGTCCAGTGGTTCAGGTCCAGTCCTGTTATACCAGGAGGACAGCTGGTCCAGTGGTTAAGGTCCAGTCCTGTTATACCAGGAGGACAGCTGGTCCAGTGGTTAGTCCAGTTGTTAGACCAGGGGCACAGCTGGTCCAGTGGTTCAGGTCCAGTCTTGTTAGACCAGGAGGACAGCTGGTCCAGTTGTTAAAGTACTTATCCTCAGTTTTGTAACTCAGATAGTAGTTACATCAGTAGGGTCCTAGTTCAGGGTCCAATGCTCTGTCCATTGCACCCCTGCAGGAGTCACTGAACCCCGTGTTCCATCCCACAGATGAGATTGTCAAGCTAAGGTCCTGCAGTCAGAGACCCTGGAGCCAAGCTGTTGATGAAATAGTTCAGTCTAAGTACTGTACCTTCAAGCTCATACAATGTTATTAGCAATGAGATTTGTTTTGCTTGTTGAGCAGGCTTTGCCAAACCTGTAGTTTTAAGCAGTTTCTTTAGGAATGCTGGATGTATCTTTTTTCACTCCGAATTGGAAAACAGTCAGTATATATTTTTTTTTTAGAGAAACATCTCCCCAGACTCATCTGTTCATGAACTCTTGTCTAAGGCTTTATACTAGAGTTGCAATACAACAGTGATGTGTTTGTAGAAGAAATGTATCCCTGACTTGAGCAGAGCAACTAAATAGCTGGTTTCATTAAGAGCAAATGTAATCTGTAAAAAAAGGCGGTAAGATATAAATGTGTACATACTGTCCGAGAGGACTTTTGTGAAAACAAAAAATCAGAGGCAAACTGAAATAAACGTTTTATTTTTCAAGTACAAAAATCCACAGTCCTTACATCAGTCTTTGATCAAAACGTACAAATGATACTAACACACCAGAACCCGTGTTCCACACAGCAGCAGTCCAGATGTGACCAGCTGTTTTCTGGCCTGCAGTAGGACGAGGCGTGTCCAGACAGCCGGTGGATGACCACGCAGCCCTGTCAAGCCAAGGCCGGCTGAGGCAGGACAGGAGCAGTCATCCTAATCACCTCTGGTAGAGTGACATGCTGTAAAGGTTCTTGATTTATTATTGATTAACAAATGGACAAGCGAGCACTTTAATGAATGGAGAATTGCAAGAAACAAAAGAAATAAAACAAAAGGTTTTAAAAGGTCATTACTAGTATAATTATTACATTCATTTCATAGAAATGTACTGTCACGCTGTGCAAAATAAGACGACAATATTCCATTTAGCAAAGTGATGCTCAATTGGCTCATGAAGTTACCAATATTTACAGGCAAACCTGTCAATTATTAGGCATTATGGTCAATCTACAGCCAACATGCAGTGACTGAACTGACCTAGGCACTGACTTTATCCAGATTAACAATGACCTTTAACCCCTGACTGAAGACACCTGGCGCACCCGAAGGACCGGTACTGTACTGGACCAGGACTGTGCTGTGGATACATTCATAGCTTTGGGGTAAAATGCAGCAGTCAGCTAGCTCGGCCTGTGGGCTTGTTTTTCTCCCTGACCATGTTGGGAGGGGGTTAGCATTTGCAAGCGGAGTTGAAAAGCAAGTGGTGATCAGGAAAACAATCTAAGCAGAAGAGGAACAACTGCAAACTCGCAACTGGAACAACAAATGGCCAAAAATACTGGATGGTGTGGCCCACTGACAGCAAGATAACTACCAAAAGTAATCTAACTTCAGAATACGATTTAAAGTATGCAGTAAATTGAAACCCAAGGCTGGTTCATTATCTACATAGTGATCAAAATGATTGTATAGCTCTTCCACACACATAACCTTTACCCTCCATGTGACAACACCCATCACATATTAAAAGGGTTAACTAAGATTTCAGGGGCTTAAAAAGCTTTGGCAGTAACACCACTTAAACCTGCTGAATTATTCTTAAAACGGAACTGATACTTCAGCAATGCGGTGGCTGTCTGGGATGTCCCATTAGAACATGGAACACTGAAGTTGGGCTGTCCCCATGAATGGATCCCAGGAGGCTACAGTCTGGAAGGATTCCTGTATCTCTATAATCTTCAACATGTTATGGGATGTGGGTGGGAAAAAGATCACCTCCACAAACACACACATAAACCTGGGGAGAACGTCCAGATTCCACGCAGTCAAAGAGGGTACCCATCTAGCTAGGAAGCATTTTCTCTGCCTCTCCATCCCCTTCATCACTGGCCAGCTTGATCCTCTCCCAGGGCAATGGAATCGGAGTATTTTCTGTCTGTGTGTGCCTGCATGTTGTAACCACAACACAACGGAACAAAACCGACTTGGCTGTTAACGCCTGGTAAGCAAAAGCTCCCTTCTCGTTCCCCTTGATCAGCTTCAGTTTTTCAAAGAGGAAACTCGGGAAGAGCAGGAGCTGTCCGAATGAGCGACACAAAGGATGGAGCTAAAACTGCTCCTTGCATACAGAAGACAAACTGAAATGGGACTAGTAGTTTGTGGCAAGAGTGCTGTCATACACAGAATTGTGCCAGGGGAATAACACCCCAATGACCAACATGATCCATGTTTCTTCAGTTACAGCACACAGTGGGTAATACGTACTGAACTGACTGTTCACTGTTCTTGCTGATGATAACAGCGAGTGAACTGCTCATCATTCATTTTATTCTAGGTTGGAGCAGGGAGAGTCAAGAGCCTGTAAACACACGGAAGGAGCTTGGTTAGTTATCTCAGTAACTAACTGATCTGACAATTGATCTCACTGTTCAACAGCTCTTTGAAGGATGTCACAGACTTCATGATCATGACTGGTTAGCTGGTTCCAGTCTCCAGGTCACCAGCCCTTTAAGTGTGAGTAATTAACAGAAAATAAATACAGTAACTGCTTCAAACATGGGTAACTGCAGCAAGGCCCACAAAATTAAAATGACAAATATATTCAGTACCATATCTAGTATTTCGTAAAAAAGGTTTTTGCATTATCACACCACTCACAGCAATAAAGCAACAGTGCAGCAGAGTATATTCTGGTGCTTTACTAACATGAGTAATTTATTTCCTCTTCAAACTCTCTCTATCCTTAAGGAGAACTGTGATCTCTGTAGATTCATCACTTTCTGTAACTATCAAACTGTTCATTTTAATCCAACGGCGCACTGTACGAACTGCTGAGCTCACACAGCGCCTCTGTGTAAGTGTACAGCCTGTGAGCACTTTGCCGATAGTCAACATTGGGATTTGCTTTGCTACATCATTGCTTTTGCTGAAATTCAAGTGGCAGTTTACAGGGCTTTGTTAAAAAAAATACTCTATAAAAATAAGCAAAAATAAGAATTCTAACAACACTGTGAGCTATAACACAATTAAAAGATGAAAAGTCAAAGGCACTTCTTTATGCTCAATAATGCTTGCGTAGTAAATACTACAGTTATAACCTGACTATAAGCCAGGCTGAAATCCCTGAGGTGTCCCTCTGCAGACGTCGCTCAAAAGGCAAAGTTGAGAGCAGAGGCGTCCCTGAATGTCACTGTCTCCCCCTAGTGCTGGATAATGAAAATTACGCTTAATCCACATACTGTATAGCATCATGACAAACACAGCTGCTAAGCAGAGCCTGACTTAGACTTGGAGTCCTGTTCTATTGTGTTTTATCCTTAAAACACCGGTTTCTAAAGATTCAGAGTAAATTTCAGACTGCAGCAAATTCAACAAGACGAACTCTGGAGTGCTCTGGCCTCCAGAAGACTGCAGGCTGGGTTGTTGTTACTTGAGCCACTCCTTCATCTTTAACAGGCTTGTCTACCTGCTCAAGAAACACCTGACTTTAGTGGATGATTTAAGGGCAGTCTGTGCAAAACCCACTGGATTGTGGCTCTTCGGGAACAGGATTAGTCATCTGATGGCATCACTGATGTGCGTTTTATTCGCTCTTAAAGCCACCTCTGTGACACTTTGTCCAAGGACATAGACATCTAACGTTCTTGCATTTCTGTGCATCTCTGCGTATTTCTCTGTAATGTGTGCTTTTGTCTCTGTGCCTGTCTACGTGTGTGTCTCTCTGCGTCTGTACTTGTCTCTTTGTCTCTCTCTGGGTCTTTATGTACTTATGTCTCTCTACCTGTCTTGTCTGCTTGGATATTCCAGTGCTGACTGGCCAGTCTCTGAACCTTTCTGTCTTCCTGTGAGTACGTGTATGGTTGTGTTTTTTTCCTTGGCCACTACGAGTGCTTATCTGATCTGTCTGTACCTGAGGATGAGTGTGTCTGTGTCTGTTTCTGCCTGTACCTGAGGATAAATGCGCCTGTCTCCTTGCCTGGCACTCAGCTGTGACAGGTGTAAAGGTAGGTGCTGTTGATGCTCCAGTCTGGGGGGAAGTCCTGGGCACTGTGAGTCTTGATGTGCTTCTGCATGGCTGACAGGCTGCAGCAGAACTCCAGGCACACAGTGCACTGGTAGGGCCCCGCCCCGCTGTGGGTGCGCAGGTGCTTGATCATGGCCGAGTAGTCCCGGGAGCGCTGGCCACACAATCGGCACTCGAACGGCTTTTCACCTGCAGGGAAAGAGGTGGCCGGGGGTTAGTGAAGGAGAGAGAGGGGGAGCACATACTGAACAACACTCCCACTCAGACACTCAGACGGTACCCCTGTGCTCTCTGCAGTGTGTTCAGA